AAATAGAAAATGCTCCAATAAGCATTTATTGAGTATTCCAAGTGCTTGATGGAAGTCAATCCCATATTTTGCAACACACACACAGAAACACACAACTAAACAAAGGACTTATCTCTTCAATACCGCCGCAATTCTATAGCAGCTCAGAAAAATAGTGCCTTCCATGGGGATGAGTGTTGTTCAATGGTGAAATCCATTGCTTTCTAATTCTTGGAATTTCTTTTCTTTTCCATCTCAGACACACAAACTGGAAGCCATTTGTAGGTCCTCGTGTACAGACAAAATTCTCTCTTGGGCAAAGAGGGCTGAATGGCCGGCCGTGGTCATTCCTGTGGCTACAGGAAGAGTCCTATGAATGAAAAGGCATTTGGAGAGCCACGAGATTCCTCGGACCCCTTTGGAGTTGCGTTACAACACAGAGAAAAAATGGAGACGCAACCCTTAGCAAGTGAGGGAACTGGAGAAGGCCCTTCTGCTGTTCAGCCTGGGAGCTGTGGGGAGATCTGGGCAAGAACTGGGCAGAAGATCCTGGCAAAGGAAACCATCCGTTCAGAAGTTCAGCCCCAGAACTTCAGGAGCATCCAATACCAGGAGGCTGAGGGTCCCCGCGGACTTTGCAGCCGTCTCCACTACTTTTGTAGTCAATGGTTGAGACCAGAAATACACACAAAAGTGCAGATGCTGGACCTGGTTGTTCTGGAGCAGTTCCTGGTCCTTCTGCCTCTGCTGATGGAAAGCTGGGTGCGGGAGTGTGGAGCAGAGACCAGCTCCCAGGCGGTGGCCCTGGTGGAAGGCTTCCTCCTGAGCCAGGCGGAGGAGCAGAAGGAGCATGCTGAGGTGCAAGTGGGAGATCTTCATTTTCGTAGCCCAGGAGGGGTCTGAATGGACTAAACAATGCATTTGAATTCTTAAGCCCTCCTCACGAGAGTTCTCTGCCATTCCTAATATGTGGAGATGTTCCACTAATTCTTGTGGAACATTGTTCCCTTGTCCATTCTAGAAGATAGATTTGGGAAAGCCGTTCCTTTCTCACTTTCCAGCCTCACTGATGGACACTGGGGGCTTTGAA